TCAGCGGCAACAACCCACGCTAGAAACCCGGACAGGAAAAAGCAACAGAGCCAGGCAAAGCCGCTCAGAATCCTTCCCGACGAGGTGGAGATGAAACGGCTGCCTATGGCGCTGCCATGTGGCTTCGGTCACGTGGGTTCATGACGTAAGGTGTAAAAGAATCTTGGGGTCATGGGGCTTCTATCTATAGATTCTATCTCTCCGTCACCGGCAGAATCGCTGATTAATGCCTACAGTTCAAAATAGTCATTTTGACTGACCGGAGTCTATGGTGGGTAATTGAACATAGTGAATATTATGGGACCTTGATGCAAATCAATTTGTTTTTCAGATAAGATTCACAATGGCCGACTAGCGGTCATTTTGTTCTAATGAATGTGGTTCTAGCCACATCTCTGACTTGCTTTGACTGATTATGTTCAAATTTTAAATATTCATCATGTCATAGATATACAAATATATTGGTTTGATGATCCTATTCAAAATGGCCGAATGGTGGTCATTTTTGTGCTAAAAAATCATCAAATATCAAGCATTTCTGGCATTTATGGATGGATTTTGTTCAAACTTGGTACATACATGTACATTAGACATTACTGGTTCCTGATGCACGTCATTTTATTTTTCAGATCGGAATCAAAATGGCTGACTGGCGGCCATTTAGTTTTAATGAATGGGCTTTTAGAGCCATATCTCTGACTTGCTTTGACTGATTATGTTCAAATTTGTAATATTCATTATAAGTCATGTTATAGATATACATGTATTCAAAATGGCTGATTTTGTTTTAATTAATGCGTTACCAGATAATGTTAAACGATCATCATAATCATATTCCTGACATGGTTATATTCCAGCTATATTACTATAAACAAAACTATATCTTAAATTAAATTTGATAACTAATGGGGACTGTGCTATGCATAGCTTGTTAGGTCAATTTGTCATCGTTATGGTTACCAGGCGATAAATATACACAGATGTCAACCCTGAGGACAGTACCATAGGTCTTTTTTTAAACATAATTTTTGGTCATTTATGGTCATTTTTGGACCAAACTAGAAAAAAAAAAAAACTTATTTCACAATTCATTTATTAATAATTAATCACTGAGGCCAAGTTTTGGTTCTTGATTGAGGTAGTAAATGCTACCAATTGTTTGTACAAGATAAATTTTCATAATTTTTTAAACAATAAAAAAAATACAGTTAGGTCTCTTCTGCAACGCTATCACAAAAAATAATCAAATTGTATTATCACCTGCTGTTCCAGAAGATTTGCTTGACACACTATCTCCGATCAGGGGCTCGTCTGACTTTACTGATGCCTCAACTGTTCTTAAGCCGCTGAAGACTCCTTCCTCGTCATCCACATCATAAGTGGGTGTGGCACCTGATTTTGTAGATGGTGAGTCAGTTACCGTGGTTTCTGGTGCAGTCATCCAATCATGTTGATTTACTTCACCTTTTTCTGTGTCTTCATTCCAGTCATGTGAATCAACACAATGACATTTATATCTATAAGGAGTCACACTAAAATAAAGTAGAATAAAAAGTTTTTTTTTTTTTAAATCAAAAAATTGTTCCCAAATTTGTCAAATGTTCAATTCTCATCAATCAGAATTCTGGGTAATTTCCCCAACAAAACATAAAACAATACAGTACAGAGTATGAGGTTGTTTATTGGTTGGAAGCTGCAAAAAATTGGGGAGGAAAGTAGGTTGCTTTGGCTAAATATAAGAATTCTTACAATTGAACCAAATTCAGTTTGGTTGGACACACACAAAGAGCCCTGAGAGGAAAGTAGGTTGCCTTGGCTAAATATAAGAATTCTTACAATTGAACCAAATCGTGTTTGGTTGGACGCACACAAATAACCCTGGAAGGAAAGTAGGTTGCTTTGGCTAAATATAAGAATTCTTACAATTGAACTAAATCCTGTTTGGTTGGAGGCATACAGAGAACCCTGGGAGGAAAGTAGGTTGCTTTGGCTAAATATAAGAATTTTTACAATTGAACTAAATCGTGTTTGGTTGGACGCACACAAATAACCCTGGGAGGAAAGTAGGTTGTCTTGGCTAAATATAAGTATTCTTACAATTGAACTAAATCGTGTTTGGTTGGACACACACAAATAACCCTGGGAGGAAAGTAGGTTGCTTTGGCTAAATATAAGAATTCTTACAATTGAACCAAATTCAGTTTGGTTGGACACACACAAAGAGCCCTGAGAGGAAAGTAGGTTGCCTTGGCTAAATATAAGAATTCTTACAATTGAACTCAATCCTGTTTGGTTGGACGCATACAGAGAACCCTGGGAGGAAAGTAGGTTGCTTTGGCTAAATATAAGAATTTTTACAATTGAACTAAATCGTGTTTGGTTGGACGCACACAAATAACCTTGGGAGGAAAGTAGGTTGTCTTGGCTAAATATAAAAATTCTTACGATTGAACCAAATCCTATTTGGTTGGACACACACACAGAGCCCAGGGAGGAAAGTAGGTTGCCTTGGCTAAATATAGGAATTCTTACAATTGAACTAAATCGTGTTTGGTTGGACGCACACAAATAACCCTGGGAGGAAAGTAGGTTGTCTTGGCTATATATATAAATTCTTACGATTGAACCAAATCCTGTTTGGTTGGACACACACACAGAGCCCTGGGAGGAAAGTAGGTTGCTTTGGCTAAATATAAGAATTCTTACAATTGAACTAAATCCTGTTTGGTTGGACGCATACAGAGAACCCTGGGAAGAAAGTAGGTTGCTTTGGCTAAATATAAGAATTTTTACAATTGAACTAAATCGTGTTTGGTTGGACACACACACAGAGCCCTGGGAGGAAAGTAGATTGCCTTGGCTAAATATAGGAATTCTTACAATTGAACTAAATCCTGTTTGGTTGGACGCATACAGAGAACCCTGGGAGGAAAGTAGGTTGCTTTGGCTAAATATAAGAATTCTTACAATTGAACTAAATCCTGTTTGGTTGGATGCACACAAATAACCCTGGGAGGAAAGTAGATTGCTTTGGCTAAATATAACAATTCTAACTGTGGATCACATACAAAGACCAAGCAAAAACGAATCCTTATCTTGAATCATTTGAGTTTAAAAATGAAGTGTGAATTAATCAGAAATCTGTGAACTTTACAATAAAATTACTTACTTTTTATATAACTTTTTGAAGAGTTCTTGTTTCTGTTCTGACATCCTGTATCAACAATAATATTTTTAGTTGTCTGTATTTATCTAATTATACATCTTGTTACCGTATTTGAAAAAAAAACATACAAACAGAAACTGGCATCATTAACTGGATAAAAACAGTTATTGGTGTCGCCCTTGTTTTCTTTCTTTCAGGATTAATCTACGAGTAGCTATGCTACTTTGACCATGGCATGCTTTCTATTCTTTACCTTACGATCAAAGTGTGTTTTCAAGAAGAAATCAAAAATAGTAGTTTTTACCAGAAATTTCAAAATTATTCGCCAAAAATAGAGAATTAAAGGTAATGTCACGAAATGAACAAATCTGACAGAGGTTTTATATAATCAATATCAAATAAGCAATACAGCTCATGTTCTTTTATTTAAGACACCTCAGACACACTAACCCACAGAAAAAAAAAAGATGCATAATGAACAACTACTATTGTGGAAGTAGTCGTCACCTACGCATGTGTCAGGTGACCATAGTGTGTCATTGTTTACAAACAAGTGTCTACCCATGAGCCTTTGCGTTTTTAGCATGTGTTGTTATCATCGCTTGGGACTCAATTCCCGTACGTGAGCAGGTGACGACCATCTCGTTTTAATAAATGACTTGCTGGTTGGTTATAAGTAATGACTAATTTGAACTATACTGGTAAATTTTGTGACTTAACCTACCGTAATCCGTGATTGCAAAATCTAAATATGAATAATTGAATACTATATAAAATACTTTATTTTTGCTTGGGAGTTTCACTATTTTCGCTGAGGGGACAATTCAGTGAATTAAAAATCCAGAAAATATACCTTTATTTCCATATTTAACATTTTTTCCCATCAAAAATCAGTGAAAACAAATTCCAAACAAAACACCAAAAAATTCTTTTCATCAACAAAAAAAAAAAAAAAAATAAATAGCTCAAAATTTGTTATTACCGTATATAATCAAAGAAAGCTTAGAAAGAACTCTAGTGTGCTGACAGTTTTGAAGACACATTAAAAAATTATTCAAAATTACTTGTACACGAGATATTGATGGAAAAGCTCAAAACTAATTAATATGTAAATCAGGTAACTAATATGAACAGAACAAACAAATTATGAATTATTATGCTAATTAGAGAATTAATATGAACAAATTTTAACCCAAAATTTAATCAGTCTGTTGTTCTGGGATGATCAGTAATTGAAATATTACTGTTAATTAATTATGTTAATTAGGTGATTAATAAGCATAAATATTTACCAAAAACTAATTGGGTCTCTGCATAGTTCCGGATTCATTGAAATGTGATGATGAGTACTCTTTAAAAGTTTCATTAAAATCCAATTCGTGGTTCTTTATATATATCAGCGGAAAATTTATGGAAAAAATTAACTAATTATGCAAAATAGGTAATTAATATCCACAATTTTTTACCCTAAAACTAATCAGGTCTCTGCATTGTCCTAGAAGATCTATGTAGCAAGTTTCATTGAAATATGATGATTAGTACTTGAAATATTAGGGAAAAAGCTGAAAATTAACTAATTATGCTAATAAGGTAATTAATATGCACAAATATTTACCCAAACACTAATCAGGGGTCCACACAGTCCTTAAGTAACTATGTACCAAGTTTCATTGAAATGTGATGATTACTACTTGAAATATCAATAGCTGAAAATTAATTAATTATGCAAATTAGGTAATCAATATGTACTGATATTACCCTACAAACTATCAGGTCTGTGCAGTATCCTATGACATCTATGTACCAAGTTTCATTGAAATGTAATGATTACTACTTGAGTATCAAAAACTGAACATTAATTAATTATGCAAATTAGGTAATTAATATCTCCTGATATTACTCTAAAACTATCAGGTCTGTGGAGTGTCCTATGACATCTATCATATGTACCAAGTTTCATTGAAATGTGATGATTACTACTTGAAATATCAAAAGCTGAAAATTAATTAATTATGCAAATTAGGTAATTAATATGTACTGATATTACCCTAAAAACTTTTGGTTTGTGCAGTGTCCTATGACATCTATGTACCAAGTTTTATTGAAATGTGATGATTAGTACTTGATTAATCAGTATGCAAATTAGGTAATTAATATTGCACAGCTTTTTATCCATTAGTTTAGAGCATCTATGTGCCAAGTTCCACCAAAATCCAATGAGTGGTTCTTTAGTTATCAGTGGAACAGTCATGGAACAGCTAAAAATCGGCTAACTATAATGCAAATTAGGTAATTAATATGCATGGATTTTTACCAAAACCTAATAAAATCTGCGCATTGGCCCAGAGCATCTATGCACCAAGTTTCATAAAAAATCAATGTATGGTTCTTGAGATATCAGTGGAACAGACACACACCCAGACACACACGCACACACAGACAGACACACTAACTGCAAAGACTCCCTTTTTGTGCTTCGCACACAGGTTTTACCGGTAAAAAGCAGTAGCAAATTTTCAACAATCGACCACGAACAAAATGGCATATTCTCTACGACAGGCGTACGTCACTATTCCCCAGAATACTTTGCGCTAAACATTCCTTCGTTCGACCACTGGAGAACGTCCAACAACACAACATACACTAGGATACGGTGTGTTCTTTAATTTTAAACATTTCTACACTTTCATATCAAAATTTGAATCTCACAACTAATCCAAAATATTTGAAAATACTTAAAAATATGCATAAAAGTCTACACAAAATTGAAACATTAATAAGAAAACTGAAATAATTCATAAAACATTGGGGAAAATGATATGCAATGAATATGGTAACAAATAAATGCCAAAAATAAACTTATAGGGCATTTAAAAATATTTTAGAAATTTAGTTAACACGGAAAACGTAAAATAGCAAGAACAACTATGTAAATTTCTGACAAACAATCACAATCTCAATATCTAAAATTCAAACCACTATCTTAATATCAATATGTGTGTCAATAAATATTATATTTATTTATTGTTAGTTACGTATATTATAAGGAAGGCATCACAATCTTTAGAGCACCTTCGATTGGGCTGTATATCCCGAGAATCGACATGGTAAAATTACAACCATCGTACAGCTCAGTACCATAACAAATATTAATAATTTACGGCAGACGTACTTCTCGGTACATAAAATTCAAAGTAATTCCCAACGCGTCTCATTTGTTACTGCGTATAAATTGACACTATCTGGAGCTTGTCGCACGCGATGAGTACCAACCAAAAATACACACAGGACATTTTAAGTGGCTTGAAACAAAACCTATTCGCTAATTTTCGTTTCGAAAACATCTACAATGGCTTAAAACCCTGCACCCCGTCCCTCATGTTTGTTTTTTACCAGGCAGGAGACGCCGGTCAGTGTGGCGTTGCCCCAGTGGTTTCCACTGTGCATCCAGTAGTTAATGCCGACATCACGGTCTATACATTCCATGTGAAGCATGGTATTCAGCTTAACCATATTTTCTTTTTTGTTTCATGGCTTAACTTAATAGAAACAGTAACTCGAGCAATAAATGTGCCTTCTGATTTTAGGGATATCGTGCCGTGTAATATTCAATGCAAAAAATAGTGAAACACAAGGCCCACGCATAAGGTGTTGCAATAGTGAAAATACAACAAAGTCAGACACCGATTGTTTCCTTTGCTAGGTAAAAACAATGTACAGAATACTCGGATGAAACAACTAAAGTAAATTAGGATATATTAGAGCCAATGAATTCGTAATTTCCGACGTAAAAGGGCCGGGAAAAAAATACCCCTCATAACAAATCACCGTGTTGTGGGGTGGTGAACAAATGAGACACCGATTGTCAAATTGTTTTCAATTTGGTAATCATCGCATGTCGATTCATTTCATTTGTACAAGGTACTCTGATACAAAAATAAGGTAAACCAGCCTACTTTAGTGCTAATGATTTTGTGATTTCTCACACGAAGAACGTTCTCAGAAATAATCCGACATGCTGATCAGCCCACCAACAATCGGCACCAAAATTGATCACAGCTGTCACGGTAAATTCGGTATGTTTTACGAGTTTTTTTTTCTTCAAATCCCAACACATATTTACACATGTAGGCGAATTTTGTCAGCTCTATGTAAATAGATATTTTTACTGGGGTGTGTCCCATTTTACGTACGACAAGAAGCCCTTACACAATGAGTAGTCATCTACACACATAGACATGGTATACCTACTAATCTACCTACTTATTTTTCTTTTACTAATATCTGATTTGTAACCCTTTTGGGGGATGTTGTGTGTTAATAAATAAATCTAAAATCTAAATCGACTTGATAGAGCCGTAATTTGGGGAGGGTGGGGGTGAAAGTGCACCATGCAAGTTTCCAAATGTGTATATATGTAATTCATAATGGAAAGAAGTACAATACAATGTTGGTAAGCGATACAAAGGAAATATCTCCTTACGGCAGCGACTTGATACAACTACATTGATGCTGGAGGTCACCATTTTTGTTCTCGGTTCAATAATATGGTGATAAAACAGGATTCATAAGTACAACAAATTGACATAACATTTTACCATGAAATCGAACCTACCAACCATCTTCATATCTTCAACACTGCCATGGTTTTGGCGATGATGAATCTCACATTCATTATTTTCTTTACTGGGCTCACACAGGGTTCAAAGTACCGTGGCTTGAATGTAATTGTACACCACACGTGAATGTAAACTAGCTTGCACAGTAATTCGTTTCACAGTCATTGAGGTTATACATTTGTTCAATTACTTATTTACTTATAAGATAAAACAAAATCATACATGTAATTTCTTAGAACTTTTCATAATATAAATATATCATAATGAAACCCCTACCCCTTATAAGACAGAAATAAACTCAAATTGCCTACCTTTTTTCAGACAAACTGTGGATATTTGACACCCCTTTCCAGACAGTAAGCATAAATGGTACCAAGGGAAAAGCCGCTGGGCTTGAAAGATAAAATGCAAAATGCTTTGACGATCGATATGAAGTTACAGAAAGAAAA